ATGGGCCACCTTCAGGGCAAGAAAGGCACGATCTCTCCAAGCCAGGTCCGGCGAGGCGACACCGCTTTTACTGTTTGTTGTGCAAACATTTACTGTACGCTACGGGTTACAAGGCGCAGTTTCTACCTCACCTTTCATAACTACCTATTCCTCATTTTATGTAATTACAACAAAAGCCTCAACCTATACAACTACTTGTTCCTCGCTTTAAGTAGTTGCCAAAACATAACCACACCCTTCATAATTACCTATTCCTCAATTTATATACTTACGACAACACTAAGAACCTCATCTTCCATAACTACTCGTTTCTCGCTCAATGCAATTACGACAACCACAACTTCATCTTCCAGGTTCACTCATTCCTAATCACCAACCTCGCTTTGGGTGACCTGTGCATGGGCATCTATCTCCTGATCATAGCCGCCGTTGACGTCAACTACCGAGGCGTCTACTTCATCTACGACGCCCTCTGGAGGACCTCGTCTCTGTGTCAGCTGGCGGGGTTCCTCTCGACCTTCTCCAGCGAGTTGTCGGTTTTTACTCTGACAGGTAAAGGATGGGTGTCCATTCATTCCATTTCTTTTGTTTATTCAAGTCTCATTCTACAATCTCGGAAATAAAGAGATTAATTAGCAGATTAATTAATAAAGGTAAGAATATAATTTTTAGAAAATCGAGTCTTGGAATTTACCCCAAAACTGATACGGGAAATTGCTGTCTACTTTCATACCAAAGTTTTGTGTGTATTTCCTTTGAATAAGCGACTGGTTGAAAGAGGGACTTCAAAGAGATATTTTGTTAGGAGGTAAATAACAGAGTAAACATAAAGGATAGCGATAGGGAAAGATAGATGAAGAAGGGTGGATATGAGAGAGAAAAGGGATAGGGGAAGACAAGAAAGCAGATATTTTCACTCAGACAGTGAAACGAAGAGAAAGGGGAAATATAAACAGGAGGACACCTTAAGATATTCCCGTGCCTTGTTCCCTTTTTCCTTATATATTATTCCTTTATTCGCCGATTAATTCTTTTATTTGTTGTGTATTGTCGTATCTATTTATGTATAGTACACACACGCACACACACGTGTGTGTGTATATGTATATGTATATATATATATATATATATAATATATATATATATATATATATATATATATATTATATATATATATATATATATATATATATATATATATATACTTCCTCTCTCTCTCCTCTCTCTCTCTCTCTCTCTCTCTCTCTCTCTCTCTCTCTCTCTCTCTCTCTCTCTCTCTCTCTCTCTCTCTCTCTCTCTCTTTCTCTTATATTCTTTGTTAAACTATCCTGGATATCTCTTCTCTTCATTAGCGATTTCCTGTATTATTTGATCTTTAGTAAACTTTCCTTCAATTAACGCTGTGTCTCTCCCTTTCTCCTATTTCTGCCGAAAGCGATTGATTTTCATTTCCTTTCATCAAACCTTTCCCCGATTGCTCCTCCCCATTTTTCGCATGTTTTCCTTTTACGTCCGTAGTCATCACTCTGGAAAGGTTCGTTGTCATCATCTTCCCTTTTCGCGTGAGTCGTCTGAACATGAACTGGACGAGGATCATAATGGGCGTGGTGTGGGCATCTGTGGGCGTGCTGGCTGCTCTACCGCTCTCCAACATTCATTATTTCAGGTTAGAGAAGTTACTTCTATCCACTTTACGTTTTCTTTATCACTCTTCTCCCCGTTACGTTTTCTTTTTTATCTCAGATTAGAGAAGTCACTCCTCTCCGCCTTACGTTTTCTTTTTTCATCTCAGATTAGAGAAGTCACTCCTCTTTGCCTCCGTTTTCTATCGTTGTTTTGTTGTCGGTTTCCCATGCACGCTGGTACTTTTTCCGTCAATATTTGAGTTTCTGCACGAGTTCGTGGCTTTCTGCGGAAATCCTCCCTGACCAATTTCCGTGTTGATCCTGTGCAGTAGAGGATCTATACTACTAGAATGTTATATATAGATAAAGTAGAATAAATACAAGTAAGACAAGCTGATAGTCCAGCTGTTATATAAATAAGATAAACTAGGTGTACTTAAAAATACAGTTGATATTTTTTTCATGAATTTAAAGAAATAATAATTTCACGGAAACACGTTCATATTCTAAAACATTTCCATACACAATATACATAATTAAGTTACTTTAAAAAAATAACGTGATATACACGAGGAAGCTCTCGTGTGATTCCCGAAACCTCATTCGGACGGCGCCAAGTTGGTTATAACGTAAAAATTGACGGAAAATGTGCTACTGTGTTAGAACTTGAATTTAAAACTACCAAGTGACTGCTTTTGCTTTCGTAGTTTATATGTACATGGTATATATATATTCATATTTATATATATATATTTCTTAATGTATATATTTCATATTTATATATACTTGAGGATTATTTTCTTCTCTTCCCGGTCCGATTTTTCTTTTTTTTTTTTTTTTTTTGCTGTGCCATTGTCATGTTTTCTTAAATATGC